CCAATAGCGTTACAGGATCTCAAAAGATTAAGACAAATGCTGAGGGTGGGTGAATTCGAAGGATATAAGGCATGAAATGACGTGAGAGTGAGAAAGAGGTCGATGAATGAATAGCTGAAGTGGAAAATTAATATAAGAGAAAGAGGAAATTTTCATGATTTCTGAGGCAGAAATTAGCTTTGGTAACTCTTTTGCATAAAGAGATATAGCCGAAACGGCCATTTTATGCGATGCACGGTGGGAAAAATAAGGACTGGAAGCGTAGAAATTTTAATTGTATTGATTTTATATCTGTTATAACTCTTCAGCACGTGAGATGTTCGACATAGATAGAGGCCTTAAATTAAATCTACTCCAATGAATGGCCTGGATACGTATGTATAGCTATAACTAAATCTAAATCTAAATCAATTTCTATCTGTATATAGGTGTGTATGGGCTTCACTTTTCTACCTTTATATTATAAGTCGAATTAGACAGCTGCTCGTTTGTATATGACTAACGTTCTTTTTCCTGTATTTATGCGTTAATTGATCATTTTGTGATTTACAGTTGTACGACTGGGTCTCATCAAACTAATCTGAGTTTCTAAAATCTTTTAATATTTATCAAAGAGAAAATAAACGAATAAGTGACTCACACCATCGATCCCTTCTCGATATAAGTGAAATAGAAGAACAAAATCTCTATCTATTACATCTGAACAGATCATCCAAAATCTTCTTATCTAGAAACAAAAACAACCAATCGCTGAATGGCCGACGTAGTCCGCTTTAGAAAAGATATTTATTTGAATTAAAGAAAAAAGAAATTTTTTACTTTCATTTTGAAATGAATGTCTCAAATGTTCCGCTGATTAAATGCTATCTATTCAATTTAAAGAAAATTTTTTCCTCTCCGTCTTCAACAAATGATATCTCCTATGTCCCACGTATTAAATAATATTGAGATGTATGAGAAAAAGAAATAATCAAAACATTCTTTTTTTTTCTTAAGTTGATTAAACGTATCCAGATATCCAACATTTTTCTTTATTATTAGTAGAACAAAAATTCTTTATACATCATGTTTTTCCTACAACCATAAATTATTTCTGAATATCTTTTTCTTTAAATTAAAAATAAAGAAATATTTTCTTTATTTAAAGCATTTCAAATTTAACTAAATTCTCTAATCGAGTGTCACATATACGTCGTACGATAGGTCGAAATTAGTTCAGATTAATATGTACTTTTATAAGTACTATTTCAATTTAAAATGCTCGTAGAGGAAATCAAAATTACACTTAAGCAAACTAACAGACTCTCAAACTGAACTGTTGAAGATCAAAAGGATCTGAACGTTGACTGATTTTCAGTCTTCTCAGGATACATATCTATATAGATGAAAGAATATCTATTCCTCAGTTCCAAAACTAACATAGGTAATATGTACATATACAGCATATATATATGCATAAATGGATGTGCTTTTATTGTGTAAGTTCATTTAGGCGGTAACTCGTTGTACACGAAATTTTGTTTTGAATTTATTGTAGCTATATAGTTCTTTGTCAACTAGAGTATCACAATTAGACTAAAAATAGATTGTAACGAGAAAAAAAAATGTATTGTTAATGTATAGTTATATATAATACAGAGATGTGTCTTTTCTTATTTCAACATCAGGAAATCATTGTAATGCAGACAAATGACGGTTTCTCAGCTATTCTCTACGAGAAAGGCATCATATTGTTTCAAAATTCATTTCTTTAATTAGAAACGACACATACATCAATATAGCGGTGTTATTGTATCTTTGGTTTGTAAAATAATGGTAAGCATAATGTCCATATATTCATAAAATAAAGAATAAAGTTAGAGAAAGAAAAACAAGCAATATCTTTTTACTTATTAAATAAAGCAAAACAGTCATTTTACCTGTATTTTATAAACCGAAGATTAAGAATAAAGAAAAATATGGTTCTCAGTTGCCTTAGATAGATCTACCTCAGAGTTTTCAATAAATTAAATCGTCAGATATAAAAAACGTTTTGAAAATAAGATTTTTTTCGGATGCATTTTCCGTAGTTTATTCTCAATTGTTAGTATTATTTTTCCTCGGAACATCACTGAAGACAAAAAGAGCTGTCATCAATATTTCCTGTTGTTCTGTCAATTATTTGTCTATTTATAGAATACTGAAGACATTTTTTCTTTAACCATTCTTTTATAACGATAAAAACTCTTTGTTTTTGCTTTTTTTTACGAAATAAAATATAAAAAAATAACGGAACGTGCTTACATTCACATGTTTTCTTTTGTTGGTTTATCAATTGGATGAGACGATGTAGTATCTGAAATGATCTATATGACAGAAAGTTGAAGAATTTACATCAAGAAAACAATTTTCTCTCTATGATTAAGACAAATTATAATATTAATGCACAAATTTTGATAAGATGACGTCTGATAATTTTTTTTATAATGAAGTTACACAATTTGTTCTATTGCATCTCTTGGTATGTACCTATAACCAATTATTATACATGCAAAAAAATATGTTTTAATTAGATTATTTTAATGAATTCGGAATAGGAAAAATCTTCTTACTCAATATGTCTTTTTTATTTCGTGGTGGATATCCAATATGAATAAGTGTCTGGCGAAAGAGGAGAGAATAATCAGATTATTTTGTTTTAGAAAAGATAGGAAGCGAAAAAAAATGTATTTCTTCCAATTAGAAACGAATGATATCGTCTAGACAACGGGCATTACATATAAAAATTGTGCATATATATATTCATTGTGTATAACAAAAGCATGTCACTTAGAATATGAACTGTCAATATTTTCTTGTCATACTTTTGTGGATAATCATAGAAGTTTACAGTTTTGGTGAAAATGGATCAGGAATCAGACATCTCGATTGTAAGTATCGTATATCTGTTTTTGTTGAATATGTGTATGAATTATTTTGATAGTCACAACACCAAGTGCTGTATATCCTGTTTATAAGTCTGCTAAAAGTCAAGGCTTATTACGTGTACATATTTTACGTCGGACGACTACTTTATCCACAAATGAAACAACTTCAATATCACCATCATTCGACGATCTCCTAGAGAAATATCTAGAAAAAAAAGGTAAAGATAAGTTTGCTAACTGGTATGGAGATCGTACCAATGGTCACATAATGAATTCGAGCTCTTTTCTTGTTTTGTTACTGATTTTTTTGACTTTTCTATATCTCACTATATTTAAATAAAGAAAGAAAAAGTTCTATTTTGTATTTTGTTTCTCAAGTACTAGCGTAAATGATATATTCTCAACTGATTACAACTGAAAAATAGAAAATGCATACGAAACTGATAATATTACTAAGAGATATTATTATTCAATTTTAATTATATTTATTATTGTCATATGTTTGAATGAATCTATTTATATAACAACAAACTAGCTATATAATCTACGATAACAAAATTGACATGAAAATACATGTAAAAAGAGAGCAGAAATATGCATGAAGAACATGAAAAAAAAGAACTGCCATGTATGCAATAATATTGATAAAAGCCGTGATAAAAGTGTGAACAATATATGATTACGATTGCTATTGAATAATGATGTTATCCACAAAGTAATTTTGCTTGTTTATTAATATCCTTTAGTAGTTTGACTTATTTAATAGTTAAATATGATGAAGTTTCAATTGGAAGAAAATTTATAAACTACTTATTAATATCGATAAATGGTATATTGAATCACATATGAGAAGTAAATTCATTATTGCACAATACAAAACTTTCATGCCAAGAAATAGAATAATTGATAGCAAATTGAAACCATTTTTCAGAATACAATGATTAGTTCTATACTACATGCTACTTATCTAATACAGATAATATGATATGAAAAAAAAAGAATAAATGGTGGTCGATTTTCTTATATCTCAAAAAGCAATCAGTTTTCATCTTCACAATCTTCCTCAACAAATTCTCCTGAAGTGACACTCGAATGATCTGGTGTCAAGTCCGAAAATTCTTGCGTATGATAATATATTTTTCTTGGTACAGGATTTGGTTTGTTACAATTAGTTTTAGTAGTGAAAATATTTGATGTGTAAATAGATTCAAAATTACGTGTTTTCAGTGGCGAACAGTCAAAAACAACTTTTGAATCATCTGTAGATATTTTGGTTGAATAAGACGAGGGTAACGGATGTTGAATTAAATTGCCGCAAATAACGTTATTCAAAAGTGGCTGAAGTTGATTGACGTTTTTTGTACATTGACATAATACATCATAACATGCATCATTTTGTTCAATCGTCGCATTATCAACACAAATATGAAGTGGTGAGTCATCAAGTTGACTTTTTTTCTTTTTAAAGCATATATGAGTAAAATAATTGATTATGCTCTGGTAACTAATCAAACAAGTAAAATTTCTCAAACAAGATCTAGACGCTACAACAACACTATAAACTGCTACAATCAAAATGAAAATAAACAATCCGATGAAAATTTTTGGCCAATTTTTTCTCTTTATTGTATGGTGAATATTGTATTGGAATTCGTTTTGAGCATCTTCCAAGTGTTTTTTATGTGAAAGAGCTGAATCAATTAATGATGAAATATCCATCATTGGACTCAAATTGTTCATTTCAACATCAATCGAATTTACTGATCTATCAAGTTTAAATGAATTTTCATATGTTGTATTGAAAGTAAATAAATAGCTCTCTATCTCCTCGCAAACACCACCAACAGATGAAAAATCGAATGTACCACAAGAAATAAAACTATTACAACGTGTTTTGATAATGGCCACCTTGGTAATGTTACTAAACACATTTTTATTTTCTTTATTACCTTTTTCGAAGCATTGTAACGAGGTATGTACACTAATTGCATGTATGTTCGGTGTGAATTTGATAATATGTGGTGGAGATAAGTCAACTGTTTCTTTTAAACAATCTTTCGTTGACATATTCAACACAATCGATCGAAGACAAGGATGTTGAATTGAACTAAATATGGGTACAGGAACGGAGCAAAACGTATACTTCGATTTTTCGTCAATTGTGCATTTACGACGGCTATGATCGACCCATTCGGAAGAACTACCGTTCTCATCAACCGATAAATACTGTGGAAGATTTGCAGTCAATACTGCCTTTTTGTCGCCAATAAACAACGGAAGTCGTGTTATTTTATAAAGATTCATTTTTTTCTTTGATAAATTTGTTGGAATACCAAAAAAATTTTCAATTCGAGCGTGACCAACAATTTTCGGAAGTATTGAATCAAGATCAATCGTTTCGTTGCGAGCAATTGTATTATGCCCGTCGGTTTCAACAACAAAATTAAAATCATCTTCCGTCAATTCATACAATATTTCACTTTCATTAACTTTAGCAAACGAAATAATCTGTTGTACAAGAAAATTTGGTACAAATTGTGCTAATGAAGCTGAAAAATTCAACGGTAGATCATATCGAATACGATTCCATAAGAAATCATGAATAAATGTTCTCTGTTCTGGTGAAAACATATCAAGATTTAAATCATGATTGGCAACTCTTGTGAATGAAGATATCATTTGTTCATAATGTCTCCGCATTTCACTCTTCAAAGAGAATTTTGCCCAACCTGTAAAAGTTTTTTGTTCTTGCAATGACATCTTCAACAAACTATGAATCAACAACCGTGTTGCATTAACACTATCAAACAAACTTTGAAAACTTTTCAACATCACAAGATTGTTATCTTCCAACGACAAAATAGATGTAACCAATACATCATTCAATTTTTCTTGATGTTTTTGAAAGTTTTCACTTTCGTCTAATCGATGAACTATTTCATCGTTATTTCCTCCAAACAAATCACCAACAATCTTATATCCACCATACAATGCAGCAGCACCTAAAACAATCTCCTCTACTTGCCGTTTTTCTCGTATCCCAATATGAGCATCAAATAATTCGTTCAATCGACGTGCACTACTATGATCTAAAATACGAGTTCGATATTGTGTACACGCTTGCATAGCAAATGCCATTGATACAGGAAAAACATCACACATAAATTGATATACAGGAATTTCAAGTATAAAATTAACTGTATCTTCTGTTTGGGCATATGTTCCCATATATTCCCAAACCGTATTGGTTTCCTTGTGATGAAGAAGAGTACTATTCTTGACAGCTTCAAGAAAATTAGTTCTCATAGCAAGAATTCGACTAACACTAAACAACACGAGTAAAACTACAAGAGAATTCTTTGAATTCATTGTGATAAAGAATCTTTAGACTATTTATCAATTTTAAAAATCGACCACCTTATTTGAACAAAGAGATAACAATAGTTGATACACTTCCTGGATAAAAATGTGTTAGTAGCTACGAAAAAAAGATCAGAACAGTTAACAAGACTGAGACAATTGAAATGGATTAGACAACAGATGGGTGGAGACAAAATTCAGTATGAGTTTAAACGATAAGTAAAGCAGTACTATACCGAAAGTGTCGTACGAAATTTGTTTGTAATAGTTGTCGACGATAAATAATAGATACAGAATTTATTTAAAGTCGTTTTAATGTTTTTTAGAATTAAAGGCTTTTCTTTAAAGGTAAGAATGAAATCATCAATAGATGTAAGAGAGGGAGAGATAAGAGCGAGGAGAGAAGAGAGAGAAAGAAGGGAGAGATAAGAGCGAGGAGAGAAGAGAGAGGGAGAAGGGAGACAGAGATAGAGGTGAGAGCGAGGAGAGAGAGACTAATAAGAGAAGATTGTCAATATATTTTATCCATTCGACTACATAGTGAGAAACTTACAAGAAACAGATATACATATAGATAAAAGTAGCTTCAGGACAATATATTCATCATATTAAGTGATGCGACGTCTCATCATTTATATTTGAAAAAGAAAAGATCTTGTTGTGATAAAATGACAACTGATGAAATATATCTGTTGATGGAAAAAACACCTATTTTGATTCTTATCAGAAAAACATGGTTGACGAACCGTGACATACATTAAAACGACGAACAATAACCAAGCGAATGTGCGGAATCATTCTTCTCTTGTTTATTTTTTAAATATCTCGTATATTTTTTGTTGATCGTCATCCAAGCTTTTTCCCAAATAGTATATTATGGTTAATAATGATATATGTATCATAATGATATAATCTCTTTCCGCACAAAATCATAATAATTAACAGAGCAAATTTCTACTCAATCAGACGTGGAAAAAAAGATTTATTTAACTATAAAAACCAACATATGAAATTGTCAATGACAAAAAGGAAAATGATCAGAATAATGTTCTCAACAAAAAAACTATTTCTAATATTCATTTTCATTATAAATACTAAATATGAGGAAAAAAATTCCAGTGCTATTTATCAATCGTTATCAGATATTTAGTATAGATTATAAATATCTGAGAAGAAAGAATCTAGATTGTTCATCATAATTTAATATGGATGAAGAGTAAGAAGATAAAAAGTAGATTGACAATAAAAATTCACATGTGATAAAAGCTTTCAAACGAAAAAATACTTTCTTTGCTCGAGAAAGATAAATAAATGAATAACTATAAGTATCAAAACGATGAGAGTACAAATTAAAAAGACAAATCAGTGCGAGATATGGGTATTAAGCGAAAAATTAGGATCTATATTATTTGCTAAATGAACTAAGAAATATTAGTTGTTTGCGCACGAGATAAAAGATATTCAGTTCGTAGGTTATCATATTTGTTACTGTTGTACAAATCGCACAACAGGCAAATATATATTAAAAATGTTGATTCATTAAAACCTCTAACAATATTTTTATATTGTGCTAACCAAGCAAATATCTGTTCACAAACTTCGGTATTAGTGGTATTTGCAACTGGATCTTTATAAGGATTTGTATTGATGCGGCACCATGGATCTACATGATTTCTATAGTGTAATTTGTCACAAAAAATTTTCAATTTATCCAACTTTTGCTTAGCACGAGTGATTTTGACAAAATTATTAGAGTTTTCGATGAAAAGCTTCAGATGGCACGCATCGTCGTAAATTAAAATATCAGGAAAATTTTCTATATTTTGATACATGTAAAGAAGAAAATTGCAAACTTGCGTGACGGATTCACACCCAAATAACTCGTATACACTACAAACAAATCCACAATTATACGCTGCAGCTATAATACCAGATGTACGATGTAGGATACGTTTATATTGTAACGATTTTAGTGTCTTACAGCGAAGATGAAATCGAGAATTTTGGTGTTTTCTTTTTCGTCTTAGATAATGACGTTTTCGAGGGAGTTGTATGTTTATATGTTCTGGTTTATCATTATCATCACTATCATTCGTTAATAAATGTTCTCGACATTTTTTCTGTTTAAAAGCGGGCGTAGCCGAACATCCAACTTTAACATCACGAATAGATCCATCGATACTAGGAACAGATATATTTTTGACAGCGCAAACTCTTCGTGTTGCTTTCTGATGTCCATCGAGTACGAGAGTAGCACTACATGGTCCTTTACAATAGATATGATAGTTTTTTTTACCCCATTTTCTGGTAAATAATTGTTTAATAGTCGGTAATATTTCGAGAAGCATTTCCTGAAAGTCTTGTTGATCTGGAACAGGCATTCGATAATTTTCCCCTTGACAAAACTGACCAAGACGCCAAAGAAACCATGTTTTCTGAAGATGAAAGCGGTTGACAGTCTCGCCTTCTTTTTTTTCAAATTTGGAATTTAGATAATTAAAAGCATTAGCGCAGTTCGAAAAACCAGAATGCTTAAACAAAATGTCACTGTCAATTTGTATGAGAAAACGTTTTTCATATCCATAATTCGAAAAAACGATAAAAATTTCGTCATCAGGACGTATAGTTAACATCTTCTGACCATCCGGACGGAGGTAATAGTTGTAGAAATACTTGTAGCTACATTTCGAGCATTTCTTAAAATAAACTGTTCCTTTTTTTAGTCTTTCACCCGAACAGAAAATAGTAACGTCATGATGAGCAACTGGATTATTTAATGCATTCTTCGAACAATCACGATTAATACAGTGAGTAAGTAAAGGTATGAAACTGTTAAGAAGGGATGATGAACAATTTTCGTATTGAGTAGAACAATAGTCTTTAATTTGTCTATTAATTTCTTCGCAAGATTTTCCTCCAATATAATCTTTATACATCGGACAAGTCACTTTCCAATTCTCGAGACGAATTTGTATTTGCTCGACTGAAAATTTTGTTTCGAAAATACGATTTAATATATGTGTGATGTGATGGATACGACGAGGAACGAACTTATTTATTTTACGATCTAGTTGTTGAAGAGTAGTCGCCATTGCGATCGAAGTAAGAGGATAAAAAAGATTTTTCAATTCGATTTCTAACGAAGAAGCCATTTCTATGGTAATAAATCTTTCGTTTATTATTTCGTATTTGAAAATTCAAACCAAAAACGCGTACAACTATATTTTTTTCGAGAAATGATCAAATATTTAATATGTATTTATTTTAAATACTGAGAATGACTCCGAATATTCGAATTTAATAAATAATCCAACCAATATAAGAAGATTTAATTCAAAGATAAAATGCAAATATTTTTGTTGATGTTCAGTTTGAATATTCCAATTGGAACAAGTTTAGTTCAAGTGTATTGAAAGAAGTGGTTTATATCTAAATATAAATATCATATTGATGATCAATATAAGTTATTATTTTATCTAATAAAATCTAATTCAAATGATTTTGGAAGAGTTAATGTAAATTTAAATAACAATCTAAATCTAAATATTGATGAATGTGAATATTCAAGTTGAATAGAGTATAACAAATATAAGTTTCAAAGTTTAAGGTCTATTGTTATCTTTATAGAAGTAAGAGTATTGACAGATAATTGAGTTTATAATGGACCTTAAGCTTTTAGTTCAATATATATTAACCATCGATAAAAATTGTCAAATGATAATAATAGAACTATTGATAAGAAACAAAGATTTGTATACTCCGATGACAATTATAATTATTCTTCTCTACATTGAAGATAATAATTCATTTGGTCACGGATCATTGCGATAAAAAATACCGAAAGGTCATATCTTGTAAAAGAATATAATCGTTCGTTGAAATAAACATTTGTACTCTTCTCTCCTCGTCTCTACTCCACAGTTGATCGTGATATTGTTCTTTTTTTTCACAATTTATTCTCATTGTTAATTTATTTGAAATGTCATCAAAAGGAATATCGTCTCAGAAAATACGAAGTATTATGGAAAAGGCTGCTATGCATCCAATGAATGTTGCTGAAATTTTTGATCAAAATATCTGCGCCTTGATAGACAATATTTGTTTGAGTAGCCAAATGCCGTCGGAATATCTCATTACCATGTTACTTCCTGCTGTTGGTCACTTTGTTAATGGTAGTCAGATACGAACAAACACTGGAACGCCAACAAATATTTCTTTTTTTACGACGATCATTGGATATCCAAGCGTCAATAAGTCCAGTGCTACAGAAGCTATTTTAAATGCATGTCTCGTGATAGAAAAACATATAGGTATAAAACCCGAAGATAGTCGAGTCAACTGTAGTGCTACTGTCGAGTCACTCTTGACTGAATTAAAAAATACATCACCCAAACTCATTCAAATTTGTGATGAAGCAGTTACTCTATTACAATCATTTGGTCTCTATAAACAAGGTGGTGCAGCATATGATCGTTCAATCATGTGCACATTATATAATTCGTCTGCTGTCGTTAAACGTCAGACAAAATCAGGAAGTGTTACAGTTGAAAATCCTGTACTAAATATTGCAGCAGCAGCACATCCAGCTGATATTTTTTCATCTGTATCTGGTGAATCTGACGAAGATGGTCTTATGGCTCGATTTCTGTTCTCTGCTCCTAAACCATCTATACCTTTATCCAGTGAGATAAGACCACTCAACATTGATGAACCCAGTCTTAATCATCTATTATACATTATATATTGCTTTAATTTATCAGAACTAAGTGATGTACGACGAGTTGATGGTGAAGATAATCGAATATTATATTCCTATTCTGTAGCTGCACAAAAGGTAAACTGTTTTGATTGATGACAGACATATTGATTGGATCATAACACTAGATTAGCCATATCTATAAAGAGAAATAGAACCAAAACGAAATGTTAGATCGGAATATTTAGGATAAAAATTATTATTGAAAATTGAACGACATTTGAAAGCTTGACTGCATATTGAAATGGAGACTTTTTTGTAAAATGATATGAGTTCATGATTGCTTTTTTTAGGTCATTGACGATGTGTTTGACGAATATACTCTTCAATTAAGAGAAGCATATGGCCTTGATCAAGGTCTTGGATCTATTTTAGGCAAAGCAAAAGTGCAAGTCAGTCGATTAGCTGGTGCACTACATGCCATCTCGCTAGCTTCTGCTGTTTTCGATCAATTGGTGGATAGTGATTTATTACCTGGTTATTATGATAAGAGCAAAGAAGTCTTTGATATTCTTAAGCATGCTGTTAGAGAGTTTAAAGAATCACATAAATGGATGGTAGTTTCTGAATATACAGCACAAGCAGCCGTAGTTTTGATGAATTACTTCGTAACTCAGAAAAAAATATATACAAATCGTAAGTTATTTCCAATATGGATTATACTGCATGTGTAACAAAAGCTGTCTAGATTTTGTAATTATTAGTTTGAATTGGAATAGGTTTGTTTAATATTGCATACCATACAGCTATGGATCAGCTTCCTAATTGATTTATTCAAGTGACAGTATAATTCACTTCTCTCCTTTTCGCTCTCTGTCTTTTCACACCTCCTTTACCTTTTCGTCATGCGTCTTTTTTCTCCCTCTATTCTCTTTCTCACTTTCTTTCCTCTTCCCCAATTGTCTCTTGATTACTTTTCACTCGTTCAATATATCATAATTTGTCTCTTTCTCTCTTCTACCAATGAGTATATACTCTACGCATCAAAACAGAAGGATGTGTGATAATTATTTTATATAGATACTCAGATAAATCTAATATAAACAACTTATTTATTGATGATTCAAAATGAAAACATTGTTCATCAATAAACTAACACTATGGCAACTTAGTACTAATGATTCATCTTACAAAACAAACACTTTCTATTAAATATTTAAAAAAAGTCAGTTAATTTTCATATCATTCTTTGAGGTCCAGTACACGAAACTTTAGACGAAATGCGACAGCGACTGGAACAAAAACAACGTGACCAAGAACATGATGAAAAAAAACAGAAAATTTCGGCTCAATTGCGACAGTCAAAAGTATCGATACGAACAGATGATGGAGGGGAACAAAAACACCCCGAAAAGGTTATCTTATTAGCGAAAGGTACAAAAGTACCATGGATGAACATAGGTCTTAATCATGGAGGCTTCAAAGCTGTTACGTTACATCAAGCAGCAGAAAAGCTTCAAAAAGAAAGTCTCGGTATGTGAATATTTTTTACCATAAGCAATAGCGTAGATAAACGAAAGCAATATCGACATTCTTTCAATAGTAATAATAAATTTAAAAGGCTTCAATCTTACGTTCGTTCAGAAAGAAACATATTCAAAAATGATTGAACACATGAAGAAAATGAAAGCAGGTGTCATATTGCCTAGCGGCAAAAAAGGAGAGAAGAAAATATGAGAGGGAGAATATAAAACAAATAGAGAAGAGAAGTAAAAAGATGAAACACAATATAGTAAAAAACAACTATCTCTATAATGTATTAAATAGTGCACTCGTCTTTTGAGTAGAGTTCGATAACTAAAACCATACTCGACAGTATTCAGCACTTAGTCAACATTCATTACCAAAACCTTTGCGAAAACAAGAAAAAATATGCATCACTACCATATGTTTCACTCATAGTCTTATCTTAAAAATAGAACAGACATTCTAACACAACAAAAAAAACTATCTCAGCGGTGTCCAACAAAAGGAGTTACTTTTTTATTCTTATAGGTATGTTAACAAAAGAAAAACAAACTGGTGCTCACAGAGCAACAACCTTTTTTACAAAAGTATTAATTGATCCTGCATGGGACTCAAATACTCTCAATTCATTTTGCAACAGATTAGCAAAATACAATGTTTCATATGAAGCTTATCAAGCATCAACAATAGCTGAACTAAATCCTTCGCCACCTAATAACGACAAAGAAGCAGACGATGAAGACAATCAAATGGACGCTTCGCCTTATCGCGAACGCGCTCAAAAGACATCAACATCACCACCAACACCACCAACAATTACATCACCACCACCTCTTCGATCATTACGAACTTCAGTACCAACAAACCGTTCCCTACAGAATGAAAACATTCCACCAAATAACACTTTAGATTATCACATAACAACACCTACCACATCTCGCCGATTAACAAATACAACAGATGCAACCACCATGAGTAATACCCGATCACCGTCTCGTCGCATAACACCACCAAATCAACAGCCGAAGAAGAAAAACCGAATTGAACCTATCGATTTTCCAATGTCACCAATGCAATCCCCACAAAAGACTCAACA